ACATACATTTTTTTATTGCATCTTCTCTTAAAATAAGACTAACAATAAGTTGTAAAATCTTATAACTAATTACATAATGTTACAAATTTTTATTTTAATTATACATTGTATAAAATAAAATAAAATAAGTAAACCTTATATCACGAACCTCACTTAGATTAATGGGTTAAATTTCATTAAAGTGAATGTTAGGTGGTTTCTTAAGAAAGTGGTTCAACTTTAACAGATTACTAAAAAGAAAGGTGCGGTTTTTACTTCAAGCTGTTGAATATTAATTAACGGATGGACGGTCAGCTCTTTTTAGACGGGAAGTAATGGATAGAAGTGCGAGATTTCTTGCTAAGGGATTAACATGCTCTGTCAGCCTTTTATTATATTTTTTTTTATATTGTCAAATTCAGCTTTAACTAGGGGAATTTGTAGATCTCGGTGTATACTTTCATTCCTAATATACCATGGGGCACCAGTGATAATTCTTAGTATTTTTGACTGAGCTCTTTGTATAATTTCAATCTTTGATGCACTAGCATTGCCAAATAGCTGGATACCATAAGTCTATATTGGTTTTATAATGCTGTCATACAAGAGTACTTTATACTCTAGGCACAGGAAAGATCTGCTATTAATGAGCCAATGCAACTTAGAGGCTTGAAGCTTCATCTGAATTTTTTTGGCTTCAATATGTTTGCACCAAGTTAGTCGTCTGTCTAGGTGGATACCTAAGTACGTTATATTATCTGCTTGTGGTATGGGAATGTTGTTTAGTAAAATTGTTGGAGATGTACTCCGATTTAAGGTAAAAATGACGTGTCTACATTTTAGTTCGTTAATTTTAATTCGCCATTTTGACAACCATTTCTCCACCCGATATAAGTGAGATTGAAGTTGGTTTGAAGCTAGCACAGCGTTTCTGTTTCGGCATAAAATTGCCGTATCATCGGCAAACGTTGTGGTGATAACTGAACTACTTATCGGGATATCAGATGTGTAAAGTACATACAATATAGGGCCAAGAACACTTCCTTGTGGAACGCCAGCTTCTATTGGGAAATTATTAGAAGTATATGATTTGCATTTCACTTTAAAGCTTCTATTATGCAGATACGATTCTAGAACTGAGTGGACATTTGCAGGTAATGAATAGCGTATCTTATATATGAGTCCATTATGCCATACTTTATCAAATGCTTGTTTAACATCAAGGAATACCGCTGAACAATATTCTCTGAGCTCAAATGCGTGTCTTATTTCATTCGTTATACGATTCACTTGCTCAATAGTTCCATGTTTTTCCCTAAAACCAAACTGGTGGGACGGTATTAAGTTTTGAACGTCAAGGAACGGTTTTAGCATGGTTTTAGAAAGGCATGGCAGTAAGCTTATTGGCCTGTATGAACAGGCAAGCGTGGGGTCTTTACCTGATTTATGAATTATAATAATCATGGATGTTTTCCACTCTGTTGGATAAAAGCCAAATTTAATTATGGCATTAAAAAGTCTTGTGATAAAATTTATGGCCAAAAGGGGTAAGTTTTTTATCATGATGGGTGAGATATTATCATATCCCGGTGCTTTTTTGCAATCTAACTTATTTGTGATTATTTGAACAAGATCATTGGCCGTGATATTCATGTCAATAGATGGTGCTGGTGGATCTTGAGTGGGAAAGTCATATTGTCCTGCTGCAGGATTTGGTTGGAACACCTCTTTTAGGTAATCAGCAAAAACGTTAGATTTTTCTTCATCACTTCGCGCCCAGTTTCCAAGAGAGTTTCATATTGGAGAATTGGAGTCTATGGGAGGATTTATACCTTTGCTAGCATTCCACAAAGATGAATGGTTTTTGCCATTTGGACATAGGTTTTGAATATAATTATATTGTCTGACTTTGTCTTCCTTGCTTAATGCAGATCTAAGTCTTCTTTGGGCTTCCTTAAATAAGTTTTGCGCTAAAGGGGACCTAGATTTTTGCCATTCACGCCTTAATCTACGTTTTTGTAAAACTAAATTCTCTATGTCACTATTTGTAAGAACTCTATTGAATCTGTAAATTTTATTGCCTTTAGGGGTGGAGTTTTCTGCTGCTGAAATCAGAATTGAGTTTAAAACCGAGGTTGCGTCCTCAATATGAGACTTACACTTTATCTTGTAATTTGTGTGTATGTGTGAGTTAATATACTTTTTATATTTGAGCCAGTTTGTTTTAGGACTTGTAAGGCTATAGGAACAGTCTCGTAACTGAGGACCATCACGTAAGCAAAATGTAACTGGAGAATGGTCAGAAGACAAATCGCAGCTAGTGTATGTTGAGATAAAATTTTTGCTTATGCCTTTGGATACGGCGAAGTCTATTAGGTCTGGTATTTTATTGTTATCAGCAGGCCAATATGTTGGCTGCCCAGGAGAGATTACGTCTAGTGAATTTTTTCTATTTACAATTGAATTGCAGAGCTGTTTTCCTTTTGGATTACAGAGTCGTGAACCCCAATACGTGTGCTTGGCGTTGTGGTCTCCCGCCGCAAGAAATCTTTCACCTAGAGTTAAAAAGTAATCCGTAAATTGGGTCTCAGTAATGTTGAAGCGAGGAGGGCAGTAAACTGCCGATAAAGTTAAATTTTTTCCTGTGTGCTTAAGGTGTATTGATGTGGCTTGCATATAATTATGAGCATATGTACCTAGAAAATAGTGTTTTAGACACCTTCGTATCAAAATACCTGTACCACCATGTGCTTTGTCATCTGGGTGATTGGTTTTATAGAATAAATAACCAGGAATAGAAAAGAAATTTTTGTTAGTTAGATGTGTTTCTGAGCAAAGCTTTACATCCACACTTTCTCGGGACATGAAATTTGTGAGTTCAAGTTTAAGTTGGCTTAAGCCGTTTGCATTCCATGTACAAGTTTTTAAAGTACTCATTATTTAGATAAAAACATTTGCATTAATTGGCTTTGCATTTTAACTATCTCGTTAAGAGTAGTTTGCATGATTGACATGAACTGAGTTAAGCTCTGAGTGAGTGGAGATCATTATTTCCAAACTATTACTTTGAACTGGAGGGGCTTGTTGCTTGTCAGATTTAACGACATTAGCATATGAAACACCTGGTGTAACAGGCTTAGAAGTTAAAGGTTGAGGTACTTCAACTAATTTAATGGTGTTGCTTCTTGTAGAATTACGCAACGCTTCTTTCTGCAGAGCTAACCTGTGCTTTAGTTCTTTATAAATAGGACAGCCTCTGTAGTTTGCAGTGTGATTTCCACTGCAGTTGCTACATTTTTTGGAGTTGGTATCCTTTAATGCTTTTTTATCGCATTCGGAACTATGGTGAAGCTCGCCACAAGCTACGCACACTGTACGAAGAGTGCAATATGACTTAGTATGGCCATACTCTTGGCAGTTTGTGCATTGCACCGAACCATTTCTTTTGTGGGGCTCCTCAACGCTAATTCTGCGGTGAAGTAAATACTGTAGGTTGTAGATGGGATGGCTCTCATTTTTTTTAAGCTTAGAAACTTCCGGGTGAAGTTCAACTTTAAACATAGGTTGTGGGATTTTATCTTTGTTAACAATATTTATTACTGCTCTAGCGCTAAAGCCTTTTTCGCTTAGGACATTTGTTATCTCAATGGGTTCTACATCTGATTCGATACCTTTAATTACGATAACAAGGCCCTTACTACTCTTTAGTTGGTATGTGTAGTAATTTTTTTTGCTGTCTTCGAAATATTTGGTTATGACTCTAAAATTGTTTTCAGTGTCGATTTGGATTTTGGTTTCGTGTATATTGCCCCTAGTTATAGGAACAATATGAAAAGTATTGTTTCCAATCAGACTTGCAAGGATTGTAACGAGGTTATTTGAGCTGCGTTCACGCAAGTAGATTGGAGGCGGTTTAAAATTTTTGTTAATAGGCTGATTAGCTTCTTCTGTAGTTTCAGCTAATTCAGCAAATCTATTGCCAGAAAGAATGTTTGTAGTTGCACTATCTTTGATAGTTTTAGTTATTTTAGCACCTTTTGAATTGCTTTTTTGAGGACTAAGTTTACGTTTCATATTTACATAGCTTTCCATGCCTGTTTGGACCGTTTATTTTATTTTTTGGACTCGCTAAGTCGAAAATGCAAGCGAAGTTGCTGAAGGTGCAATGTTTGACAAGCTTTTGTCAGTTTGTGTAGTTTTCAGAGGCAACGTATTCGATGCGTCTATTACCAAATAAGCATTACGTTTACTTGGAATGCTTATCGTATGTCTTCTTTCTAGATTTTGATTGCTCATTTGCATACGTGGTTATATATGCAAATAGCAGGTGTGCTATAAGATTTACTTAATTTAACTACTATTAATATTAATTGATATTAAGTTAAATTAACTATATAAATATAAGTAAAATTAAATTAAATTAATATAAAGAAGAAAATAATAAAAATAAAAATGAAGATGTAAAAATAAAATGAAAATGTGTAAAATATTATACTTTATATTCTAATAATTAAACATATAAATAAAAACAAAAAGAGAGAAAAAAGAATAATAATTATACTAAGAATAATAATAATAATAATAATAATAAAAAATAATAATAATTAATAAAATAAATATCTTTAAATTCCAAAATCCACTGTTAGCACGTATGTTGGTTTTGATGTTGTGTTGTGATGAATTGCGGGCTTCCAATTACAGCTTTTGTGGAACACGTTTGTAATAAT